TTCTACACGTGTCTTTTTTAAATCTTTCTCCTCTCACCTTAAAAATGTGCCTTGAATGGTCTTGAAATCCCTCACCCTAGGGAAAAGACACTTGCCATTCATCTTATTTATACGCCTCATGATTTATAAACCTGTATAAGGTCATCTCTCAACCTCCTACGTTCCAGGGAGAAAAGTCTCAGCCTCTCCTTATAACTCAAACCCCACAATCCCGGCAACATTCTGATTAATCTCTTCTGAACCTTCTCCAGGTTAATAATAATGTCCTGTCTTCTATGGAGCCAGCTCATCCTTGTCTTTGGGGAAGTGGCCAAGCTGAGGGGGGAGGCCAGGGGGAGTGACGTTTGCAGAAGAATTGGAGGATAAGCTCCTGAGCAGAGAGGGCGTTTCATTTCCACTTCACATCAGTCCAGTAGGAATTGCGGACGGTGCAAGTTGTGAAGCAGCTGTTTTTGGAGAGTGGTGAGCTTCCTCACCTCCCAGTAAGCTGGGTTGACCTGGAGGGATGAAGGTGAGATTTACACAAACACTTTCCTCCGAAGGTCGGCTGTTCTAAGGGCGGTGGCTCTGCATCTTAATAGATACGAAGGAAGCTGAGAGTTTGACCTCACTGCTGGAAGGCCGAAGGTGTCGGATATGACTCCTTCCCCCACCAAGAAGCAGCCAGCTTCTCCCTCAAAGCCTTTCTCACATCAAGAGAACACCTCATGGGGGACTTAAGAAGTACAAATATATTCATGAATAAACACGACTTTGGGAGGTGAGCTTGGCCTCACCTCAGTGGATCTCAGGTTTAAGAAATCAAAGTGTGCCAATTGACAAAACGCTTCATTTACTTTTCCTTCCCTCACCTCCTCCCCCTGCCACCCCCCCCATTTCCTTCTGCTCATTACCTGAAGGTGCTTATTCTAAAGAAGGAATCACACAATCAAGAAAGCATATCAAATGTTATCCTTCATTATCCATTCAACTCCTCTTGTTATAATGTGCTGCAGTCATACATGGCAATGAGGAGACCACATCTTGTATAATGTGTACATTATTTAAGGAGGTGGTTGAGAAAAGGTTTACTAGATTGATACTCGGAATAAGTGAGTTGTCTTATGAAGAAGGATTGAATCATAGAATCCCTACAGCGTGGATGCAGGCCATTCGGCCCATCAAGTCCACACCAACCCTCTGAAGACCATCCTACCCAGACCCACCCCCCCTACTCTATCCCTGTAACCCTGCATTTCCCATGGCTAATCTGCACCTTCCTGAACACTATGAGCAATTTAATGTGGCCTATCAACTTAACCTGCACATCTTTGGACTGTGGGAGGAAACCGAAGGAAAACCACGCAGACATGGGGAGAACATGCAAACTCCACACAGACACTTACCTGAGGGTGGAATTGAACCCGGGTCCCTGGCGCTGTGAGGCAGCAGTGCTAAGCACTGAGCCACCATTGCTGTCTAGGGTGAGGAATGGACAGGGTGGGCTTGTTTCCACTGGAGTTTAGAAGAGTGAGGTGCGATTTAGTTGAAGGAGCTGAGTGTTCTTGACCCGGCGGAGGTTGAAAGGATATTTCCTCTTGTGGGTCAGTTCAGAACCGAGGGGACGGGGAACGGGGACATCCTTTCAGCACCAAGTTTAGGAGAAATTCTTTCCATTAGATGGTTCTGCAAATTTGTAGCTCTTTGCCTGAGAGGTTGTTGGGAGTGGGGTCATTGAATATCTTAAAGACAAAGGTGGGTAGATTCTTGTCAGGCCAGGGTTTCGAGGGTATTTGAGGGCGAATGTGGAATTCGAAACACAAGCATGATCTTAGTGAATAGTAGAGCAGGCTCGAAGGGCCGAATGGCCTGCTTCTGCTTCTGTTTTGTATGTTGGTTTATTCTAACCAAGATTCAACTGCTTTCCTACTGGCTGAACATAGACACCTAAACCCAGGCTACTCCTCAGTCGCTTCCTAGCTGAGCTCTGAACATTAATTCCCGATTATCCATCACTTAAATAATCTGTCTAACTTAACTCCTCAAGCCGTCAAAAGCTGAACTGAGATTTGCATGTTGTTTTGCCTTTGAAATTGTACCCCAACCTTTGTCTCGGTGGGTAGCACTATCACCACAAAGAGGAATGTAGATTCAAGTCCCACCCCAAGGAATGGTGCGCACAAGACAGGCCAGCCGTCTCCATTCAGTCCTTGTACTCTTGGAGAAGCTGTTCTCATTCGGATGGGATGCTAAACCTGGGCCCCATTTATCTCTGAGGTAGACACGAGCATTCCCAAAGGATTAATTTAAGGAGAGCAGGGAGGTTCTGCCTCGATTTGCTGGCCAACTCTGAACCCTCAGTTAGCATCCTTATTATATTTAGAAAGTATCCATGGAAAAATGTCACACTGTATTTACACTATTCTACCAGAGGTGGCAGTATTTGCATCATTTACAGGTCTCCCAATTCGTAGACCCATTGAATTCCTACTGTACGGAAACAGGCTGTTCAGCCCATCAACTTCACACTACTCCTCTCTACAGCATCCTACCCAGATCCACCTGCCTATCCCATCCCTGTAACCCTGCATTTCCCATGGCTAACCCAACTAGCGTGCACATCCCTGAACACTTTGGGCAATTTAGTATGGCCAATCTGCCTAACCTGCACATCTTTGGACTGTGGGAGGAAACCGGAGCACCCAAAAGAAACCCACGCAGACACGGGAAGAATGTGCAAACTCCACACAGACAGTCGCCCGATGGTGGAATCGAACTTGGGTCCCTAGCAACTGGAATTCCGCAACTGATACTGTAGACAATTATCTGTCCTCCAACTAGCTGCCTTGTAAACTTTGTAAACAGACTTAAATTTTAAAACTAATATCAACTAGAAGTATGTTAATCGCACATGTGTGGCAGCCCATAATATAGATATACATAAGGAGATAAGGCAGAAAGCTTGTTCAAAGAGGTAGGTTTTAAGGAGCTAGTAAGAGCTGCAGATGCTGGAGCCAGAGACAATACAGTGTGGAGCTGGAGGAACACAGCAGCTCAGGTAGCATTAGAGGAAGAGGAAAGTTGATGTTTCGGGTCAGGATCCTTCTTCAGAAGTCGCCTCCTCCCTTAATTCCTTCAGTTAAAAACAAATCTATTAGAGTCATGGAGGTTTACAGCATGGAAACAGGTCGTTTGGTCCAAGCTGCCCTATGTGTCTTTTTCTCTCTTTTTTTAATGTGTTTATCGACTGAGCACCCATTGAGAATTCCTGAATGAGTTAACATAAACCATGAGGCAGTATAGTTTGTTTCAACATAATTAATTTCAAATTATTTCTTCTTACCCTGCAGCTAGGATTTCTTTCAATTTGCAACAATCATCCTCTCATAGCTTCCCAAATAATATTTCTGTTGGAGTCTCGTTAGTCACAAATCTGTTCTATTTTAGGCATGTCACTACCAACACCGGTCTCATCCTTACCCTGGTAATTGACTTTTAGAAGGGGACAGATAGATTGTGGTCACAAGGACAAACTGTGTCCTGACTCCACCCTTTTCCAAATTGGGGATTGGTTGGGTGAAGGGTGGGTCCATTGATGTTGGGTTGCCATTTCACACCCTCCTGGCTCTCAAGTGAGTCCACTCTGGCCTGCGGAAATACTACTTCTCGTTATCTTTTTAATCAGGCCTCAAGAGGTTGGGTATTTGAAGTTCCCAATCCTAAATAAGTACCAAGTCCGTACTCATCCATCGCTTTTGTGTCTGTTGGCCTACACTGGCTCTTGGTCTGGCAGAATTTTTAACTTCTGATCCCTCATCCTCAAATCCTTCCATGATCTCAACACTCCCGATCCTTGTAATATCTGCCCTCTTACATCCATCCCACACTGCTTCCATCGCCTCTAGCCTCCAAAATATTGGTGCTCCTCCTGTTCTGGCCTCTTGAGCATCACTGAGTTTGGTCCCTTCAACCTTGAGGGGATGTGCCTTCTGTCCTTTAGGTCCTGCTCTCTGGAGTTCCCTCCCTACAGCTCTCCAACTTTCTAATCCTCCTGTCCTCCAGTAAGATGCTTACCTTAAAACTTAGCTTTCGGTTATCTACCCCTAATTTCTCATGAGGTGAGGTGATGTCATGGCAATTTATTTTTATGATAACATGTGTAGAGCTGGATGAACACAGCAGGCCAAGTAGCATCAGAGGAGCAGGAAAGCTGACATTTCAGGCCTAGACCCTTCTTCAGAAAATCTACACTCTACACCTTGTTATCTCAGATTCTCCACCATCTGCAGTTCCTACTATCTCTGAAGCAATTTAGTTTTGTGTCTGATTTACACCCTTGTTAAAGGGCCCTGGGGGAGTGATTCACCATGTTAGAGGCGCTCTATTAATATGGGTTGTTGTTGGCTTGGCATACTGCCTTCCAGCGACGCACAATCTGGGCAAGTCCACAGTCAGCAAAGAGCCTCCTACGCAACCTATTGCCCCACGACAAAAAGCATCTGCTGAGGGAGAAACAGAGGAAGCGATTCAGGTCAATGACTATCTACCAGCCCCAATTCTTAGTATCATTTCAGATAGCACCAGCATTTTTACCCTTGCTGCAGACTCACCATGGCCTGTTTAATAACAGACAGAAACAGAGAAAAGTCAACTCAATGGAGAATGATTGCTTTTGAAAAAAAGCTTTAAAAACCATTGGGGGCATTTAAAAAATAAATCTGTTTGAGGTTTCAGCCTTGTTAATCTTCAGTGAGAATTCGAAAGAGGCATGTGATTAAGTTAATACTGGAGGATTTCCACAGAGAAGGTGAGAACTGTCAATCATTGGGTTTTAAGTGGGGAGTGTCGCGATGTTAAGTCTCCTGCCTCTTTGATGTCCCAGAGCCTCCTTTCAGTTTTTGTGTATCCACTGCTGTCTGGAATAGAGAGCACTGCCCTTTAAAAGCCAGTGCATTCAGCACTCAGGCAGACAGTGTTTTAATCCAAAACACTTGAGTTTGTGCTTCTCAGGAGCTGCGCCAGATCAGCCTAAGAGGTGGGGCGAGTCCCTCTCTCTCTCCTTCTGTCTACTCCTGGGAGAGTTTAAAGGAAAGTCGCGCTCAGTTAGAATAGAATGGTCAACAGCTGGATGATGTTATCCTTTGGAATCCTCTTCGGCTGTGTCCTGTGGTCAGCGCTGGCTGATGGGGTCCACCAATACCATCATGTTGAGGAGGTCAAGGCTGCTATGCTCAGGAAACTGGCACTGACCGAGGCTCCACACCTCATCAAGAGAGACCTAGAGAACGCAGTGGTGCCAGCTCGTGTGAGGAACAAATACGTCTCCATGCTGAAGCTCTACAAGGACAAGGAGAGGAAGAGGAGAGCCCTGCCCAGCTTGGCTGGCATCTTACGGGGAGTGCCAGGAAATTCCGGTAAATTAACTCTTGTCTCTAATTATTATCTTGTGGGTGCACGTGTTAGACACAAAACGCTGCTCTTGTATTGTCCCTTCCAGCAGGTCCTGGGGAGTTATACAAATAATAAAGCGTATTTTCTTTTCTTAAGAATTGCAGGGAACACAGCAGCAAACTGTGCACAGCAAGATCCAACAGCTGCAAATGACTAGTATCCTTGAAGTTGGGTGAAGTGTAAAAGAGCAGGAATACTGGGGAGAACGATCTTGCCAGGCCCCTGTGGGATCTTTCTACTCCCAGAAAGTAGACAGCGCCTCGGTTTCAACAGCTCGTCTGAAAAACAGCATCTCCTGTCAGTGCAGCACTACCCCTGTATTGCACCTTCAAATCAGCAGAGCGAGATTTCAACCCCTATCCAAAGCTAATGTGTGTACTCTTGGGGAGGGAAGTGCTGAAATTTGCAGCCTTAGGTAAAGGAGCTAAGCAGCACAGAACAGAGGCCGTTTACTTTTACCATGACCTTGTGTGTGTTACAGCTCTCCAGCTGAAATATCTAATCCAATTTCCTGTAACCTTTTAAAATAATTTTCTCCAAGGTTGTCCTTTCTAATTCAATGTCCTGACTTGATTAAAATGTCACTTGCAGGAACAGGTTCACATCTTAACATTAAAATGTATTTTGCCCCATCATATGCTCCTTGTGATAATTCTAGAATCACCTGTATTGATTGATTGGGTTGATTTTATTGTCACGTGCCCTGAAATGCAGTGAAAAGCTTTGTTTATGAGCAGTACAGGTAGATCACAGCAAGCAAAGGATATACAGATCAAAAGACTTAGAGGCATACAGTTTACATTGCAGATTACATGATTTGAGACTAGAAAGGTCATTTTTCTGAAGGGTCTAGGCCTGAAACGTCAGCTTTCCTGCTCCTCTGATGCTGCTTGGCCTGCTGTGTTCATCCAGTTCTACACCTTGTTATCTCTGTGTTCAGGCTTTTGTATCTTCTGCCTGATGGAAGAGGTTGTAGGAGGTACCTAACAATGAGGTTTCATTTTTATTGTGTGATCCACCCATTCTGATCAAATTGTCCAAACAAATTGTCAACTCACACATAAGGATGAAGGATGCCTGCTCTGGTCAAGGGAGAGTTGGCTCATGTGGGGCAGGGAAGCTGTGTGGAATTTGCCTGCTGTTCTACCCCACTCATAGCCTAGGCATTACAAAGTTTATTTTCTTGTCAGTTGTTGTTGCCTTGTGTAAATCTAATCAATTACTAATAAACGGGTCCCACACACCCAGCCTCAGCCTTGTCTGAAAAGGCTTTACAATTATAGCTGCAAATTGTTTAGTGATTCACACAGGCTGACCGCATTACAAAGACTTCAGCCAGATTTTGCACTGTCTGGGAATGCACAGTAAATTCCCAGAATTTAACATGATGAACTCTGGGGACAAGAAGCTGGAACAATAAAAGCCAGAAACAAGATTATGCACTGCCTGTCTCTTTTTCCACATAACAGAAGGAAACCACTGGGCCCATCAAGCCTGTGCACGCTCTTGAGACGAAATATCCAATTTGTCCCACTCCCCATAAGTCCTGCAAGTTGTTGCTCCACAAACTGATTCACCAAATCAGAGATAGTAGGAACTGCAGATGCTGGAGAATCCGAGACAACAAGGTGCAGGGCTGGATGAACACAGCAGGCCAAGCAGCATTTTCTCACCAAATCAGGGCAGGACTTATCCACTTACTGGTAAGGTCCTGGGAAGTGTTACTGAACAAAGAGACCTTGGATTGCTAGTTCAAAATTCCTTCATAGTCGAGTCCCAGGTAGATATGATAGTGAAGAAGGTGTTTGGTATGCTTGCGTTTATTGGTCAGTGCATTGAGTATAGGAGTTGGGAGGTCATGTTGCGGCTGTAAAGTATACTGGTTAGGTCACTTTTGGAATACCGTGTTCAGTTCTGGTCTCCCTGCTATAGGGAGGATGTTGCTAAACTTGAAAGGATGCAGAAAAGATTTACAAGGATGTTGCCAGGGTTGGAAGATTTGAGTTATAGGGAGAGGCTGAATAGGCTGGAGCTATTTTCCCTGGAGCGTCAGAGGCTGAGGGGTGACCTTATAGAGGTTTATAAAATTATAAGGGGCATGGATAATGTAAATAGACAGGTCTTTTCCCCAGGGTAGGGGAATCCAAAACTAGAGGGCATATTTTTAAGGTGAGAGGGGAAAGATTTAAAAGGGACCTAAGGGCAACTTTTTCACACAGAGGGTGGTGTGTGTGTGGAATGAGCTGCCAGAGGAAGTGGTGGAGGCTGGTACAATTACAACATGTAAAGGCATCTGGATGGGAACATGAATAGGAAGGGTTTAGAGGGATATGGGCCAAATGCTGGCAAAGGGGACTAGATTTAGCTAGGATATCGGGTCAGCATGGGCGAGTTGGACTGAAGGGTCTGTATTGCGCTGTATGTCTCTATGATTCATAGAAAGTTGTATTTGAATTTGCTTCCACCACTTTTTCAAACATGCAATCCCGATTGTAACAATTTGCTGAGTAAGAAAATTCTGTTTTTTTTAATTCATTCATGGGATGTGCTATCCCTGGCTGGGCCAGCATTTATTGTCCATCCCTAATTGCCCCATGAGAAGGTGATAGTGAGCTGCCTTCTTTAATTGCTACAGTCCATGTGCCGTGGATAGACCCGTAATATTGTCAGGGAGGGAATTCCAGGATTTCAATGACACTGAAGGGACACTGATATTTTTCTAAGTCAGGATGGTGTGTAGCTTGGAGGGGAACTTACAGGTAGTGCTGTCCCCATCTACGTGCTACCCTGTCCATCTAGATGGACGTGATTGTGGATTAGTTTATGAGGCACTCACTGGGGATCTTTAATTAGTCTCTGTATCCAACCATCACTGCTTCATGAAGAACACTGTCAGTTTCTCAACACAACCCTCGACAGTATCGTTCTGTAAAACTTTTCCAGTGACCAGTTGGGATTCCAGCTGTGACCCAGCCCATGTTTTATAAAACTCCAGCCTTGAGTTGCTTTTGTAGTCTGTGCCTTTCTGTTGATAAAACCATGAATCATAGAATTCCTACAGTACGGAGAAAGGCCATTTGGTCCATCGAGTCTGCACCAACCCTCTGAAGAGCATCCCACCCAGACGATTTCTCTATAAACCCATATTTCCTATGGCTATTCCACCTAGCCTGTACATCCCTGCACACTATGGGCAATTTAGCATGACCCACCCACCTAACCTGTAAATCTTTATACTGTGGGAGGAAGCTAGAGCACCCGGATGAAACTCACACAGACACTGGAAGAACTCCACACACTGTGCAAACTCCACACAGACCTCTACACAGGTCCCTGGTGCTGTGAGGTGGCAGTACTAACCACTGTGCCACCTAAATCCTATTTTCTTTGTCTTTGTACTGCCTTCTCAGCTTGTCCTTCCTCCTTCAGTGGTTAGTGAATATGTTCCCAACCCCGGGTCACTCTGTTCCTCACTCACTTTTCAAATTGTATCACATCATTATAAACAAGTTGCGAGAGTTGTGAAAGCCGAGACTGATAAGATTTATTGTTGGGCAAGGGTTACAGATTGGATAGATGGAGAGCAGATTCAGATCAGTCACGGGTTGGGATATGATGGGGATGGTAGAATTAGCCTGAGGGGGCTGAATGGCCTACTCCTGTTGTTTTGATATCTCCTCGTTCCTTGCTTCATGTTGCTGTGCTCTTTGCCTGTCCAGATACGAGAGGAGACATACTCTATTCGGACCCTGCCAGGCAGACGCTGGTCTTCGATATGAAGGGGCTGATCCCTGAAAACAGCGAGGTGACCATGGCAGAGCTCAAGCTCTTCAAGAAAAGCGTTCACAAAGGAGAGCTCCCTCCCAGGAGGCACAGTCGGCCAGTCAACAACGCCAGGGTCAGTGTGCACTGGGTCAAGACTCTGCCTGATGGCAGCAACAGGACCTCACTCATCGACTCTAGGTGAAAAAAACACTCAATTCTTAACATTCCTCCTTCTCTTCCACTTGTCTGCTCCATTATTACTTGGCTAACACTTCCCACCCCTTTGGAGAGGCCATTGTAGGGCAGGCTTAGAGTGGTGACCACTGAAGCATCACAGAACCCCTACAGTGTGGGAGCAGGCCATTTGGTTCATCAAGTCTACACTGACCCTCCAAAGAACATTCCAACCACATCCTCCTAGCCCAGCATTTCCCATGGCTAATCCACCTAGTCTGCACGTTATGGGTAATTTAGCATGGCCAATCCACCTAGCCTGCACATCTTTGGACTGTGGGAGGAAACCCCACACAGACACAGGGAGAATGTGCAAACTCTGCACAGACAGCCGCCCGAGGGTGGAATCGAACCCGGGCCCCTGTCGCTGTGAGGCAGCAGCGCTAACCACTGAGCTGCCGTGTCACAGCTGAGGGTTGTGGAAAGAAGCGCGCAGAAAAAGGACCAAGGTCCATCCAGATCACGCTTTAACACCCTAATATTCACACCACCCAACAATAATGGAATTGCTGATGAGACAGAGAGATTAATCTCATTTATCTGGTAATCTAGAACAGATCTGGACATGAGGTGAGGAATTCTTCCAGTAACGAGGAGATTTGAGAAACGTGCCTAAAGTCACAAGTACCTCCAAGCCCTGTAAACATTACACACGTTCAATGTTCAAATTATGCATGTACTGTCTTTTGCAAATGTTATAATCTGGAAGAAATGTCATCTCATTCACATTGGAATGAATCAAAACTAGTTAACTGATAAGGCTGAGGATGAAACAGGAGAAATAGGTGCTGGTGTGAAACATAAACACTGACATTAGAACATAAGATCTAGGAGCAGGATAGGCCATTCAGCCCCTAGAGCCTGCTCTGCCATTTGGTATAATCATGGCTGATCTCATCTCAGCCTCAATGCTACTTTTCTAACTGCTCTCCATAACCCTTCAATGTATTACTAAATAAAAATCTGTCTGTCTCCTTCTGAAATTTACTCAATGTCTCGGCATCCACTGCACCCTGGGGGAGTGAGTTCTACAGATTCATGACCCTTTTAGAGAAGTAATTCCTCCTCATCCCTGTACTGTATCTGCCACTCTTTAGCCTAAAGCTATGAGCTCTCATTCTAGATTGCACCACAAGGTGAAACGTCCTCTCTATGTCTAATTTGTCGATCCCCTTTAGCATCTCAATTAGATCTCCACTCATTCTTCTAAACTCTAGTGAGAAAAGTCCTAAACTGCTCACTCTGTCCTCATAAGACAAACCTTTCATCTCTCATCGGTTCAACTGAATGAATCGTTTGGCTCAGTATGAGGCTGTTTGGCCCATTGAGTCTGTGGTAGCTCGATGAGCGAGTTATCCAGTGAATAGCCTGCTCAGTGCTGTAAATTCTACGTAAACACGTCCACCATCTCCACTGAGACCAAATTTCAGAGATGGATAAATGGCTCCCGAATGTGCCATTCCTGCAGATTTAGTTTGGATTTAGGTCCCATTGAAGTGCTAGCTTCTAAATGCGAATGTAATGCAATAACACAGTTCTCTCCCCCACTGTGACAGGCTGGTCCCCATTCTCGACTTTGGCTGGAAAATGTTCGATGTCACCCAGGCTGTACACTACTGGCAGAATACCAAAGAGATTGCAATGTACTTAGAGGTCTGGATTGAAGCTGAGCGACCGGGGAGGCACGCGGCTGAGCTGGCCAGGTTCGTCTCCTTCACCTCCCAGGATCCTGCTGACCAGGAGCTGGCAAAGCCTGAGCTGGTCCTCTACACCCTCAACTTCAGCGAGTACGGGTATGTCTCCCTTTGCGTCCTTGTTCCCTCATCTGCGTTCAGAGTTTAAAGCCCTGTTGCGGTTACCGCGTGGGGGCGTGTGGGTTATACAGTGATAAAATTATACAGCACAGAAACAGACCCTTCGGTCCAACTCCATCCTGCTGACCAACATCCTCAATGAATCTAGTCCCATTTGGTCCATATCCTTCTAAACCTTTCCCCTTCATGTAGCCATCCAGATGCCTTCTAAATGTTGTAACTGTACCAGCCTCCACCACATCCTCTGGCAGCTCATTCCATACACGCACCACCCTCTGCATGAAAAAGTTGTCCCTCAGGTCCCTTTTGAGTCTTCCTCCTCTCACCTTAAACCTGTGCCCTCTAGCTTTGGACTCCCCTACCCTGGGGAAAAGACCTTGGCTATTCACTCTATCCGTGCCCCTCATAATTTTATAAACCTGTATAAGGTCACCCCTCAGCCTCTGACACTCCAGGGAAAATAGCCCCAGCCTATTCAGCCTCTCCCTGTAGCTCAAACCCTCCAACCCTGGCAACATTCTTGTAAATCTTTTCTGCACCGTTTCTAGTTTCACAGCATCTTTCCTATAGCAGGGAGACCAGAATTGAAGGCAGTATTCCAGAAGTGGACTAACCAATGTCCTGCACAGCCACATGACCTCCCAACTCCTGTAATCAATGCACTGACCAATAAAGGCAAGTGTACCAAATGCCTTCTTCACTACCCTGTCTACCTGCGACTCCACTTTCAAGGAACTTTTGTCCCTCCACCCCTAGTTCTCTACGTTCAGCAACACTCCCCAGGACCTTACCATGAGGTGTATAAGGCCTGCCCTGATTTGCTTTTTCAAAATGCTGCACCTCACATTTATCTAAATTAAACTCCATCTGCCACTCCTCGGCCCTTCTGATCAAGGCCCTGTTGTAATCTGAGATAACCTTTACTCTCCACTACACTGGCAGTTTTGAAGTCATCGCTTGACCTCCCGCCATGGTGTCAGCTCCCTCCCTATATCCCCAACAGCCAATTGGAAACGGGATGAATTCATGTCTCTGACTGGGTCCATCTTCACTCTTTGTGAAATAATCTTTCCCCATCTGCATGGTGGCACTGCTGCGTCACAGCACCAGAGACCTGGGTTCAATTCCAGCCTCGGCGACTGTCTATGTGACGTTTGTACATTCTCCCCGTGTCTGCGCGGGTTTCCTCTGGGTGCTCCGGTTTCCTCCCACAGTCAAAAGATGTACAGGCTAGGTGGATTAGCCATGGGAAATGCAGGTTACAGGGATTGTGGGGGGTGCGCAGGGTGGTTTGGATGGGATGCTCTTCGAAGAGTAAGTGTGGATTCGGTGGGCCAAATGGCCTGCTTCTACATTGTAGGGATTCTATGACAGTGGAAAGGACACTGATTTTTGGGAATGCCCCATTTGTTTCTCCCTTGGTTTAATCACAGCATAGCCCTTGAGATCAGTTTGTAATTCCACTAGGCTCCAGGTCAAACCTGGAGGATTGGCAAATGGGATGTTGGCCTTTATTTCAAGAAGTGGTGGAGGCTGGTACAATTACAACATTTAGAAGGCATCTGGATGGCTACATGAAGGGGAAAAGTTTAGAAGGATATGGGCCAAATGCTGGCAAATGGGACTAGATTCATTTAGGAAAGCTGGTCAGCAGGAAGGAATTGGACCCAATGGTCTGTTTCTGTGCTGTATAATTTTATGACTCTATAACAGTAGGGAAGTCTTGCTAAAATTATAGAAGGCCCTAGTCAGGCTACAGCTTGAATACTGTGAAGAGTTTTGAGCCCCTTATCTAAGGAATGAAATGCTGGCATTGGAGGCAGTCCAGAGATGGGTCACGAGGCCAATACTAGATATGGAGGGACTGTCTCATAGATGAATATGTTGAACCTCTATTCATTGGAATGTAGAAGAATGAGAGTTGACTTTATTGAAATGTATAATATTCTTCGGAGAACTGTCAGGGTGGATGTGGCAAGATTGTTTCCCCTTATGAAAAAGTCTGGGACCAGAGACAATAATCACTGAATATGGGGTCGCACACCTAAGACAGAGATGAGGAGGAATTTCTTCTCTTAGAGGGAGGTGAATCTGTGGAATTATTTTCCGCAGAGAGCTGTGGAGGTACGGCGATTAAATATGTTCAAGGCTGAGATAGATTTTTAATCAGTAAAGGAATCAAGGGTTAGAGGGAAAAGGCAGGAAAGTGGAGAAGAGGATTGTCAGATCAGCCACGGGGTGGGTCCAGGTGGGATGCTGTTCAGAGGGTTGATGAGGACTCGATGTACGGATTCTGTGATCCCACTGAATGGTGGAGCAGACTCGATGGGCTGAATGGCTTACTTCTGTTCCTTGTATTATAGTGTCTGAGTGTATACGTGCGTGTGTGTGAAAATCCTAGTGAGCAGACACTAGTCAACAAGTCAAGTTTGAATAACAATGATGACACCAGTGTACAGGTTAATATTAGTGTACAGGCTAATATTAGTATACAGTTTAATATTAGTCTATGGGTTAATATTAGTATACAGGTTAGTATTAGTGTACAGGCTAATATTAGTATACAGTTTAATATTAGTCTATGGGTTAATATTAGTATACAGGTTAATATTAGTGTACAGATTAATATTAGTGTACAGGTTAATATTAGTTTGCAGGTTAATATTTGTGTGCAGGTTAATATTAGTCTATGGGTTAATATTAGTATACAGTTTAATATTAGTGTACAAGTTAACGTTGGTGTGCAGATTAATGTTAGTGTGTAGGTTAATATTAGTGTATGGGTTAATGTTAGCCTGCAGGTACGTGTGTGATTACTGTTTGTGTCTATGAGTATGAAGTCTACAGATATTAGTGTGCAAGCTCTGAGCATAATTGTGTTTCACACACACGTTGAGAACAGCAGGACAGGGGTTTCTGACAAGTATGGAGCTGAAAGACACATTGCTCAGAAATATGTCACGCTGACCCAGATTTCACTGTGTGCCTTCTCCCGTAGCAAATTTGGCATGAAATAAATCTGGGAGCTCTCAGTTACACTCTCGCCTGGAACGTTACACTGCAGTATGGTGTTGGGGCTGGGGGTGGGGGGTGGGCGGTGGATAGTGAGGTGCAGGGGCAAGAGACACAGAATAAAGGGCATGGGGATCAGGAATGGGAATGAGGGACCTTCGGGGCAAGGGTGTTGAACAGCACTGGTTGGAATCATTTCCTTAACAGTATTTACAGGGGAGCAATTGGTCTAAATATTTGTGCCGTGTATGGCGCTGGGAGAGAGAATCATTTCACTTTCCATTGTGTGTTGGACCACTGGTGGAAGGTCAGTGTTGTTGTTACATCAGTAACTGGTGGAATCCAGAAATGGTGTGCGTAAGTCTCCCCTGGTTCAATAGAAGTAATCTGTGGAAATTGTCATAAGGACTAACCTGGTTCATGAATTTCCTTCAGCAAAGGAAACTTGTCATCTTTATCCCCTCCCCCATCTAGTATCAACAAATGACAGCTATTGTCTGGCCTCCAATATGGCCTAAGCAAGTTTAATATATTGATTAATCCACTGAGTTGCCAAGTGCAGTTGGAAATGGGCTTTAAGTAGGGGCCTTGCAGGGAATGTCCACATCCCATGTATAATTCATAAAACGTAGGATCAGGCCATTCAGTGATCAAGCCTACTCTGCCATTCAATGAGATGCTATATGAAAATAAGTGTGAAAATGTGCAACCAGCGTTCTTGCTGTGAACTGCCACTAAACGTGACATCGCTGTTCAAGTCACCCTGTTGTAAAATTACTGACTACTTTTTTTTTAACAAACCTACTCATTTCCTTTTCTTTATTTGTAGAGCTGCCGGGGACTGCAGTGGGAGCCGGACCCGAAGAAGTGGATCCTGCTGCAGGCAGGAATACTTCATCAACTTCAGGGAGCTGGCCTGGACGCAGTACTGGATCATCGAGCCCCCTGGTTACCAGGCCTTCCACTGTGTGGGCAGTTGCAAGCAGCCACAGTGGCCCTTTGACTATGGAGAGAGGAGCTGCGCAGCGGTGGAGAGTGCCTCCCTGCCTGTGATGTACCTGGTGAAGAAAGGGGACTACACAGAGATCGAAGTGGCTGAATTCCCCAACATGATCACTGAGAAGTGTGGCTGCACTATGGACAATATCTCAATGATATAACTTGGACCCCTGTGGGGCAACAGGGGCGCTGTGATTTTGCTCATGTCCTTTTCCTTGGTTCCCCCATTCCATGAAGGCATTGCGGCCTATGTTTCCATGGTTACCCACACTCCTGTTGCCAGCTTGCAGTGTCTGGAGTCATACGTAGGCCCAGACCTGGTGTCACATGTAGGCTCAGAGCTGGAGTCGAGTGTAAGCTCAGACCTGGAGTCACATGTAGGCCCAAACCTGGAGTCATGCATAGACCAAGACCTGGAGCCACATGTAGGCCCAGACCTGGAGCCACGTGTAGGCCCAGACATGGAATCACGTGTAGGCCCAGACATGGAATCACGTGTAGGCCCAGATGAGTCACGTGTAGGCCCAAACCTGGAGTCACGTGTATGCCCAGACCTGGAATCATGTGTAGGCCCAGACCTGGAGTCACGTGTAGGCCCAGACCTGGAGTCACGTGTAGGCCCAAACCTGGAATCATGTGTGGGCCCAAACCTGGAGCCACATATAGGCCCAAACCTGGAGTCATATGTAGGCCCAGACCCGGAATCACGACAAGCAAGCATTCTTTCCGACACGTTGGGCTCTTAAATCCAACAGTTTGACAGTCACTTTTACTGAAAATTGGCAGTGGCTTTTACTGAAAGCAATCAGGCATTACTCATGATGCCCTTATGTATTTATGTATATATCCCAGATTTAAATTCTCAATCTGCCACATTGGGAGCTGAACTCTCTTTTATCTGGATCCTTTATCCAGTAGCAGAACCACCGCATAGACCAGCCTCATGACACTGCTGCCACCCCTGTTATCAGGACTGGCAGTAAGGCAGCACTGGGTGATATGTCTCCCTTCTAACATACATTCGCCATTCGATCAGAGAGCAACCAGAACATTAAAGAAGCACTTAAACCATATCAGGATCATTCAAAAGAAGTATCTTTTGTCACTTGGGAAGGAGTTGAGAGGGGAAAGGAGGGAGGCAGTGACCTTTCTGAGGGTTATGTGGGTCATATATCACAGATCCTGTGCCCCTTCCTTCTTCCTCCTGGGGACAATGAAGCGGAAGAATTGGACAATGTGGACCCAGAGCTTTGAGACTGTGACCTGTCAGTAAGACTGTATGAAAGCTAGGGATTCCACAGTGATGTTTATCAGAGAGGAGATTCTGCTGCCTTGTGATGGGAAATGTTCCCAGTGTATTGAATCACACCTATTGGTCATTGTGGCTGTATCTAGATTCCAAAGCATGTATGATATTTGTAAATAAAAAATGAAATAAAACTATATATTGAAATAATCCCAGTGGGGAGTGTGGTACCGCTCTTTATCCTTCTCTTGGCTGCTTTTATCCTCAACGTAATTGTGGGTTCAAGTCCTATCCCAGGGACCTCCGCGCCAAATGCAATGCAGTACCGAGGGAGTCAAAAGGGTTGGAAGCAGATCCGACAGTCATCTTCAAAAGTGAATTAGATAATTTCTGGAAAATGTAAGATTTGCACAAATGGACCTTTCTGTTCAACCAGTCAATGGTGACCAGGTTTCCCAAACTAAACTAGTCCCACTTGCCTGTGTTTGGCCACATCATTCTTAACTCTTCCTTTTCATGTACCTAACCAGATGCCTTTTAAATGTTGTAAGTGTATCTGCATCTACCACTTCCTCTGGCATTTCATTCCAAACACGCACCACTCTCTGTGTGCCTTTTAAATTTTCTCCCCTCATCTTAAACCTATCCCCTCTAGCTTTGAACTCCTGTGCCCCAGGAAAAAGACGTTTGCTATTTACCTTATTATGCCCCTCATAATTATATAAACCTCCTCAACCTCCAGGGAAACAAATCCCAGTTTATCCAGCCTCTCCCTATAACTCAAACCCTCCAGTCCTGGTAACATCCTTGTAAATCTTTTCTGCACCCTTTCCAGTTCAATGCATCCTTCCTGTAGCTGGGCGACCAGAATTGTATGCAGTTTTCCAAAAGTGTCCTTACCAATGTCCTATACAGCCGCAACATGGAGCCCCAATTCTATACTCAATGCTGTGACCGATAAAGGCATGCATTAGGAAAATGAGATAAAAGTCTGAAGAGTTTTCCAGAGCAAATCTTAAAATTTAGGGTCAAGGCAACTGAAAACATGGACTCCAATAGTGAAATGATTAAAATCGAGGATGTTCAGGAAGTAAAAATCCGAGCTAGGGAGGAGTGTGGATCTTGAGGGGATTACAGGGATAGGGAGGGGTGTGGGTCTGGAGGGAATTAGTGAGATAGGGAGGGGTGTGGGACTGGAGGGGATTACAGGGATAGGGAGGGGTGTGGGTCTGGAAGGGATTACAGGGATAGGGAGGAGTGTGGGTCTGG